CCAAATCAAGACCTGGACCTTAATTTCCAGAGTCCATGTTGGAAGAAGCAAGATCTGTTCTGATGTGCCACACCTCCTTCCCAGCCTCTGATCCCTGTCGGATCCTCTATCCTGACAGGCTAATTCCCTTCTAAACCCTTAAGAGGCAGTTTCCACCCCTAGCCCCTGCCCAGGCTGTGACTTACTGGCACCCAGGGTCAGCCTGAGCTCTGGAATGACATTTGCACCTCAGGAACAGTACCTCATTTAGATTCAAGGGGAGACTTGTGCTTTTCTAATTTAACCAGCTCCCTCTGGGCCTGGTGACCACACTCTCAATACTGCAGAAATGTGTCACACCTGGGCCCAGCCGGAGTTTCTGAGGAATTAGCTGGAAAGGGGATCTTCCAGAAACCAGGTATATGACCTTGAACCAGTCCCTTCCCCTCTCTCGCCTCAGTTTCCCCTGGGCTAGCCTGGCTTCCTACCAATTGCCCAGTATTAACAGCCTGGCCCACCTGGGCTTCAGGGAATGCCCACCTGACTATGCTGGCTGGGGATCAGGTTGGGGTTCACATGAGGAAACCAGGAACAGGCCCTGAAGTCAGGGCCAGAGGGAGGGACAGGAAGGAAGGTTGCCTCTGCTCCTGAGAATCGCCGCCTCCTCTCTTCTCAGAATTATGAGCTGTGGAACCAGCAGGGCATCAGGCATCATCCAGATCAGGGGAGTCGAGCTTCTTTTACTCACATGGCTATTCTCCAAAAGCAGCCTCACACCAGTGACACCGAATATCAAACAGATGAGGGGGGCGGGTTATAAGCAGGAATGAAGTATGAAGTGGAGCTTTATGATAAAGGCAAGGCTGGTGTGCCACCGGCAGAATCCTGGGGGAGGGGGTAGGAGGATGTCTCCAGCCAGCTAGGGAAGCTAGACAAGAGACATTGCTGTACTTGACGGGTTCTTGCTCCAGAAAAAAACTCCCACCCCGACTTAAAGGGAGAACTTTTTCTTTATTTGAAGTTTTATCAACAACCAGATACCTGCCAACCTGCAATACATATATACAATGTTCCTTCCAAATGGCACTGTCTTACCTGGCGCAGAGAACTAAGGCAAGCCCGGCCTCATCTCTTCCACCCTTATGTATGAAAACATTTTAGCTGGAAATACCTGATCCACACAGCTCAGATCAGAGAGGAAAGGGAAGAGCAAGCAGCGAGAAAGGAAAAGAACCTAGGGAAGGCAGCTGGGGAAAGACAGAAACCTGCAAAGCAAGTTGGTTCCTGCAGCTGATCTGGGGTTTCCTGGGATCTCGGGTCCTGCTAAAGAAGGGGAGAAGCAAGGGACCCCAAGGAACAGGGAGAAAACTGGTGCCCAGTCATGTGGAAGTGAGGAAAGGATCCTGGCCTATGTGAGCACCATGAGCCATGGCTCAGTGCCAAAGGTGAACGCGGAGTCCCTTCTGGAAGGGAGAGCAGCAGGGCTGGCCGCGGTGAAGCGCCCTGTGCCGAGCGGCTGCAGGGCACGTTTCCCCAGCACCCGGCTCATCGTTGACGTCAAGCGCGGCGAGGCCGCGGCCAGCAGCAACATTAATTAGGTACAGATGCACCCGCAGGGCAGGCCTCGGCCAGGAGCCGCTCCCGGAGGCGCCGGCCCTGGGCGCAGCGCGCCGCCTCCCAGGCTGGAGTTCCGCCAGTCGCCGGCCACCCGCCGGCCTCCCAGACGGCACGACAGCGCGCCCTAGTGGCCATTGCCCGGAGAGCGCTTTCGGGGGAATCGCCGGCCCACTGGTCTAAGAGCCTACACCCCTCATCTTCAGTATTCTCAAAGCTCATTGACCTCATATTAGAATCCCTTAAGTTTTTTTTTTTTCCTTTTGAAATACTGGAGTTGAACCCAGGAGCTCTTTACCGCTGAACTACATCCCCAGCCCTTTTTATTTTATCATCATTTTTTTTTGAGAGTCTCACTAAATCGCCAAGCAGCTCTTAGCTTGTAAACCTACTGTCCAGACTCCCAGATCGCAGCGATTACAGGCTACAGGTGTGCGCCACCAGCCTGGTAACTTTGGGATCTTGTAAAAATCCCAATGCCCAGAAAGCACCCCATCCCAGTTAAATTAGAACACCTGGGTACCAGACTCAGCTACCAATATTTCAGAAACTCTAAAAGTTTCCAGTGTGCCCCCAAGTTCCGAAGCGGCTCTCATAAATTAGTAGTTCTCTGACTTGAACTGCACCAGAACCACCTTCCGGGCAACTTAAAACACATGCTGCCAGGCAGCACCCCAGAGTTTCTGATCCAAGTCTGTTCCAGTTGGGTGATGCTGATGCTGCAGTCCTAGGACCACACCTTAAACTTTCACTCCTCAAATACACCAGATTGGGCAAAGATTTGGCATCACCTGGAGCTTGTTTAAAAAATGCAGGTTGAGATTCCTCTTCAGACTCACTGATACATGGTATCTAGGTACAAGTGATTCATATGTTATATAGTTTAGAAACACTACTCTAAATGCTATTTAGTCAAGTTGTGTTCAGGCTAGATCTCTTCACAGCCTCCCCCAAATCTCTGAGTCAGAGAGCTGGATAGAACTTTCCAGGTTATATGATCCAATTTTCTTGAATAACTGATGGGGAAAACTGAGGTCCACAGAAGGAAAGAAACTTACCTAAGGTCCTGGGTTCCAGGGTGACCTATCAGTTTGTGCACCTGGGATCTCTTATCCTGGCAAACATCACTCCAGAAGGTAGCACCTGTGCTCCTGGTCTTCCCCCACCAGTCAGGAAGCAAGCTCTGAAGGGCACATGCAGCCCAGGCTCTGTCCTGGCTGCTTGGGAGGGGTGGAGGCAGCAAGTAGAGACATAAGAAAACCACTAGAGAGAATCTGGTGCCAGACCGCCCTGCAGGGTGGCTCAGGAGAGGCGGGTTTGAAAGGAGAAAAAGAGTGTTAGCCACTGACCTAAGTGTTAACTCACACCCATTTCTTGTTCATGATTATTCTTCTGACTTATCAGAGAAAAGGAAATCTGAGGCCTACCTTATAAGTAGAAATAAAATAAACCCCTGTCCCAAAAGTGGCTAGCTCTGGCCATGGCTTACGGTGGATTTCCGTCTGTTGTAATCAGTTATTTGGCTGAAGTTCAATGACCCATGAAGTTCTTCACATGCCCTTGGCCTCTGGGCTATGCTGCCTTCATTTGGTCAGCCAATGGTGAGTGCTTTCGGTGGCCCTTATTTGTGAAGGCAGTCTCAGGGATTAGAGACCCATGATAGACCTGTTTTGGCCACAGAGTTTGTAGTCCAAGTGGACAGTCTAGACAAACACATGAATAAATGGGGAATGAAATAGATACAACAAGACTGTGGAGATGGAAATGTCCACAAGGGGCAATGAGATGGCATTTGAGCAGGTAGACCCCTAGGAGAAATGCATGCTAGAGGTCGGGGAAATCAGAGCAGGCTTCCTGGAGGTGATGGGTGGCTGTCACAGCCAGGGGATGATGGAACTTGGACATGAATCCCAGGGTGTCCATATTTGGACCTCAAACTCCTAACCACTAGTCTACCCTGCCTTCACAGAGGCAGGAGTGAACCCTACCTTGTGGCATGCCTGAGATCTATAAACAGGATGTGTCTGGCTGGAAAAGAGGACTTCAACCCAGACAGTCAAGGCTGAAAAAGAAGGGAGAGGCCAAAAAAAAAAAAAGAGGCCTTGAATTTACAGTTGATAAGTGCTGGCTTTATCCAGGATCCCAAAGGAAGCTATCTCTGTTGTGATGTAGGAAAGTGACCCTGATGGAAGTTTCAGGAAAACCAAACCTTTCTAGAGCTGAACCTATAGCTGATGTGCCAAGTTCTGGCTATAGAGGGCTGGATGAAAGCATCACTAATAATAATCACTTTATCTGATTATTTCCTTTGGTAGAACTACAGTTAGCATTCCAAATTCATTTCCATCCATCCCAGAAAAGCTCTGGAAAATGATTAATTTTTAATTGTTAAGTAAAAACACTGTGGGTGTTTGTTTTCTTCTTGTGGGTCTTGCTCTTGCATTCCCAGGTAGACTACCCTGTTATCAGCTTTACAGAAAACAAAGACGCTGAAATTAAACATTAACCAGGGTCACTGAGTATGTCACTGAAATGCACAGCCCCGGTGTTAAAAAGGGGGAGGCCTGTAACTCTCCAGTTGATTGTTCAAACAGGAATGGGACTCAGAACCAGGCCCCATCTCCCAGAGTGTGGGGCAGGGGCAGACAGCAGATTCCAAAAGAGCATTTTTCATTCCAGTCCACAAACATTTACCGAATTCCTGGGTTGGGCTGGCCATGGTACTCTGCCATGGGACACCCAGTACCTGAGACAAGGAGGCCTCAGACAGGGAAATCCCCCTCGCCTGCAAGGACTGCTAAAGACGCAGGAAAGAGGGGCCACAGAAGGCAGAATGGGGAGTGGCATGTTTTACCCCAGAGGAGGCAGCATTTGCTGTAGGACTTAAAGAATCGATAGATTTTTCTCTAGTGAAAAAGAGAAAGCAGCCCTAGAGAGGGAGCCAGGTAGATCGAGAGGTAGAGGACACTGCGTGGTGTGTTTGGAAAATGACTAGTCTGGTGATGGGGTGCAGCTTGGGACCAAATTGGCAAGGCTGACTCCAAAGTGCAGGCTTGATCTGTAAAGCTGTGGGGGAGGGAGGGGGCTGATCCAAAGCATGATCTGATTGACATTTTAGAATGGCCCCCAGAACAGTGGTGGGGAGGGTGGCCACTGGGCTGGCCGTGAGCCCTGGAGGGAGCGGAGATGAGAACTTGTCCAAGGCTGAGGCAGGGAGAAGAGACTGGAAGGGTTCTAGAGGCTCAGTCTCCTGACACACTGGGCAGAGGGAAGTAACACTGGCCACTCTTTACACTGCCCTCCAAGAAGGGACACATCAACCAGAGGTCTAGCAGGTAGCAGGGGCCACACTAGTATTTCTTTGTTGTTGTTGTTGTTCTTTTTATTTATACATGACAGTAGAGTGTATTTTGATATATCACACATACACGGAGCATAACTTGCCGTTCTTGTGGTTGTACATGGTGTGGAGTTCCAGTGGTTGCGTATTCCTATATGAACAGAGGAAAGTTATGTCTGATTCATTCTACTGTCATTTCCACTCCCATTCCTCCTCTCTCCACCTCATTCTCCCATGTCCAATCTGGTGAACCTCCACTACTGGCCCCCTCACCTATTGTGAGTCAGCATCCACATATCAAAAAGAACATTCGGCCTTTGGTTTGGGGGGATTGGCTTATTTCACTTAGCATAATAGCCTCCAGTTCTATCCATTTACTAGCAAATGCCATAATTTCATTCTTCTTTATGACTGAGTAATATTCCATTGTGTATATATTTATACCACATTTTCTTTATCCATTCATCTGTTGAAGGGCACCTAGGTAGGTTTGATAGTTTAGCTATTGTGAATTGAGCTGCTATGAAAATCTATGTGGCTATGTCACTGTAATATGCTGATTTTAAGTCCTTTGGGTATATGCCAGGGAGTGGGATAACTGGGTCAAATGGTTGTTCTATTCTAAGTTTTCTGAGGAATCTCCACACTGCTTTCCAGAGTGGTTGCACCAATTTGCAGTCCCACCAGCAGTGTATGAGCCACACTAATATTTCAAAAAGAAGAATTGACTTGGTGCTATAAAACCCAAGAAGCCAAACCGGGCATTGGGGCACCAGAGATCGGCAATGGAGGAAGCCCCAGACATCATCTAGAGCGAGAGGGACAGAGAAGGGTGGCCTGTGACTGGAAGCCAGGAGCTGCCGGCTGAGCTAACCCAGGGCAGGCCTGTACAATGGGCACTGGAACTAGAGAGAGAGAGTAGGAGGAGCAATGCCCTGGCTCCTCCCCTCTGCACATCCTCTGGTCCGCCACCTGCTATCAGCCAAACCTATTTGGTCCAGAGAGCAGGTGGGGAATGTGTCTCAAGACAGAAAGCAGCCAGAAGAGAGGGAGTGGACAGAAGGACAGTGGTCAATGCCTAGCCCTGGAACACCAGGAGGCAGCCGAGGTGAGAGGACAGGAGAAGTTAGATTTGATCACAGAACATGGGAGGACCCTCCCAGGAAGGGACATCCAGTTTGCAGCTGACAACTGAGTTTAGGATGGACTGATATGGCAGGCATGAGGGTGTCTCTCTGCCTCAGGTTTCCCAGCCAGGGCAAAGGCTGGCTCATGCCTGCGTCACACTGTCCTGGAGCTGAGCCTCCTGGGGGAGCAGGGCAAAGTGGTATCTGGTGGCTTAGTGACATGCCAGACCTCAGGACTAGGAGAGAAAATGGTGCAGTGCAAATAAGACTGGCCCAGAGAAGCTGTCAGACCTGCAGCATCATCCCACTTCTAGGAGCAAAGCTGTGCGACTTCAAACAAGTAAACAATGCTCTCTGGGCCTTGGTACCTATTCATAACATTTCAAAAAGAAGAATTGACTTAGGTGCTAGCTATAAAGCCCAAGTTTCAAAAATCAAAATTGCATTTTGGTTTTATTTATTTATTTTTGATTTTGTGTGTGTGTATGCTTTTTTTGGGGGGTTGGGGGGGGATGTGCACATGCGTGTGTGTGATGTGTTACTGAGATTAAACCCCATGCCAAGAGCACTCTACCACTGAGCCACAACACCCCCCCGGCCCTTTTTTGGTTTTTATTTTTTATTTTGAGACAGGGTCTTGCTAAATTGCCCAGACTGGTCTCCACCTTGTGATCCTCCTGCCTCAGCCTCCTGGGCTTGTGCCACTGCACCCAGCCCAAATCACACTATGTAAATAGTGACACTCAGTCTATACCTGGAGGACAAGGATGACGAGTGAATGCCAAGTCTAGCCAGAGCGTGCTGGGCAAGGCATTTGGGACAAGAGCTGGCTTCAGTCCGGCAAATCCCCTGGGGTTCCATAACCTGCAGTGGTAGACAGCCTCTGAAGATGGTCATGATCTTCGACAGCCCTCTGACGACTGCTGTACTGAAAGGCTAATTTCTGGCGGGTTTCAGCGGCTGGTCCCATCTTCTCTGGTTCCCCTGTGACCAGCCACTCACAGAGCAACAGGTGGAACCCCAGGTAGAGCCACACTGATTTGCCTTTTTGAAGCTTGGACCTGTGACCTCATCATAGACAGCAGGGAGACCACTGAGCTGAGGGTAAGTCCCCGCAGGGCCACACAAACCCCTGGGTCTGTGTGCCTGTGGATCTGCAAGAGAACCCTGAGCAGACACCACCTGGATGGCAGGCCTGACTCAGGAATGTGTCTGTGCACAATCTCCAGGGCTTGATCTTAGGAAAGAAGGTGCTTTATTCTGAGATGATGTCCTTCCTTCTTCTCAGAGTCTCGAAACATCCTTTCCTTCATGAGATAGATAACAAGTGTCCTTGTAGTCGATTGTCTTAACAGGCAAAATAAACTCATGCTTTGTATCCTTGCTTTGCTAGTCCATGAATCTAAGCACTGAAACACTGACCTCAGATGTCCACCTGCCATCCTGATGGGGACTGAGCCACACATCCTGCCTCCCATGGCACTTCCTGGAAGCCTGCCCAGGAGCTTTGTGTCCCTAGCACAGTTTATCCAGGGCAGCATCAAGCACCGTCTCTCCACGCCACGCCACACAGCCAGGATGCCTGGAGCTTGGGTGGAGAGAGAGCTCCCAAATGGGCCTTTCCTCACCAGGCCTTGGCCATGGTCACTGTCCCCACCTGAGCTTCAAACTTCCTTTCCTGATGCAGTGCCGGGGGAGATTCTCCACACCTCCCTGTGATCTTTGAGATCACCTTGGTGGGGACTTGACCCAAATCTTGGCAATGGAATACAAAATCTGTGGGTGTCTTTCCTCCGATTCTCTGAATGGGTTGGCAACTCCGGGGTGATCAGCAACCCCGGGAGGGGGCTGATGAACATCTTTAGGTTAAGCTCCTCCCCCTGCAGCCTGTCCTGGCCACCCCTGCTGTATACGTGCTCTCCAGCATTAGGCGGCTGCCTGTGGCTCTGACTTCCCTAGTGATTTCAACCCCCTGGCCTGTGTGGTGCTGCCCCCACCACCCGCCATGGATTATCTCTCCTTCCCCACCCCCCACATCTTCTTTTCTCCAGTCTTGAGGACTTAGGTCAAGCATCGCCTCCTCCAGAAGCTTCCCTGATTCCTTCCCCTCCTCCCTAGACAGATGTGCCAGGTTGTATTTTCCAATATGCTTTCCCATCCTGCATGATGTTCCTGCTTTACCACACTCACCCTGGCCCAGAGATAGAGTCAGTGTCTCCCGGCATCTAGATGGGACTTGTGATTCCCTGGCCCATGGAGCACAGGGGAAGTGATACTTGTGACTTCCAAGGCTTGGTCACAAAAGGATCAGCACTTCTCTCTCCTTAGCCTGCCCTGGGACCCAGCCTCCTTGCTGTGAGGAGACCCAGTGCACAGGGAGAGGCTACACCGGACAGCACAGAGGTAGGCTGTCCCCACAATGCCCTGTCTGCATCGTGACCCACAGGAACCCCAAGAGAGCCTCTGTGAGCCCTGTTGTTTTAAGCTTCTGCACTTCAGGGCAATTGTAATGCAATGACTGGCAGCTATGCTCCTCTGGAGTCCCATGTCCTGTATAGTGCGCTGTCACAGCAGTTTCTCTGGAGGGTTAATGCTGGCTGACAACTCTGCCTCTCCTACTGGACTGTGAGCACGCAGGGGCAGGGACCATCATGCCATCTGCAGTGCCCTGGGCCTGGCACTCAAGTACCCCAGGAAAAGAGAGAATCTGGTGTGTCAAAGTGAACTCCCAGGTACAGAAACATGAGCTAGAGCCCTGGCCATGCCAGACGACATATTTTAAATGAATGAAGTATTGGTGAATAGGATCCACGTAAACCTTTAAGGTTTGCTGAATGGGTCCTGTGAAGCCTGGTCCCAGTGGGGCTTCTGGAGGTTTATTTGTGGAGCAAACAGAAGAAGGGAGGTAAAGGGACTTTTTTGGTCACTGTGACAAACATTTGAGAAAATTGAGTTAAAGGAGGAAGCATTTCTTGGGTTCACGGTTCCAGTCCATGGCTGGCTCCGTTGCAGAGACGTCATGGCAGAAGGACATGATGGAGCAAACCGTCTTACTCATGGCAGACAGGAAGCAGAGAGGGGATAGGGAAGGGGGCTGGGACAGGAAATGCCCTTCCAAGATTGGGGCTAGAGGTCAGTTGGCAGAGTGCTTGCCTGGCATGCCCAAGACCCTGAGTCCAATCCCCAGCACCACAAAAGAACAGAAAAGCGCTTCCAGAGCACATCCCTATGGACCTAGAACCTCCAGCTAGGTCCCATCTCCTACTATTCCCACCACCTCCCAATACTGCTCTCAGCTGTGAATCCTTCAGTGAATTAATCCACTGATGATCATGATCCAATCAGCTCCCCGAGTCCCCTCCTCTGAACCCTGCTGCCTTGGGAACCAAGCCTTCAACATACCAGTCTTCAGGGAACACTTCATATTCAAACCATAACAGGGCCCAATGGCAAGCTGACCCTTTGGCCCAGCTGACTTCATGAGACCGCCAAGTTACTTAGTCACTTCTCAAACTGGGACTCCCGAGCTTCCTTAAGAGCAGGCATCTTTCATCTGAATAACATCACTTCCCTGCTCCCCAACCTCCTAGGACTCTGCCAGCTCCCTTTCCTCCCCCCACCACGGGACTCATCCACCCAAGCACTCCAGATGCACCCTGGCCTCCCTCCTGGACCTACACTGCTGGCCCAAGGGCCCCCAGGCAGGGGCTTCACAGGACCCACCAGGAACACTTTGCTGTTTCCAGAGCACTTTCTCCTCTATCATTGCACTTGATCTCCATGCCCTCCACTGAGGCAGATCACAGAGGATAACCAGACCCTTGTCATTGGTAAGGGAATTGGTTACACTGGGACCCCACTCTGGACTTCTGACTCCATATCCCTGGCTCTCACCTAGTCTGGTCAGTGTCAGTGGGGTGGCTACCAACCACCGGGGAGGGTCCTGCAGTAGGAGGGTAGGGGGGAGTGAATCACCTAGCCATCCCATTAACTCTTAGCACCCAGAACATTTCTGGACCCCTGGACCCACAAGCATTAGGCAAGCACAGGAAACATAAGCTCAGACATTTGACATAGGATCCCCTGGTACTTCCATTGCTGAGACACACACATGCACACGTGCACACCCAGAGCAAAAACAAACACACCAAAAAGACGAACAAAAATCCTGACTCGAGTCCATTTCAAAGAACAGTGTCTGGAGGACCTATTACTTCACCAAAATAAGAATCAAGTTACCTGTGCCGTGTCTACTTCACAAATGTCTGCCTTATAAATACTCACGGGCACAAGCATGTGTCCCACAGTCACGCACGCCTCTCTCTGGATAAAGAGGCCTCGGGGTTAGAATGCGTTCTGGAATCTCTCTGTCCACACTTCCCAGGTCTGGTCATTATCTCCGAGGCTGACAGCCCTGAAGCGTTGGGATGGGCAGGCGGGAGGCCACAGGCTGTGCGGCAGCCGGGTCAGCTTACAGTGAGCTGTCCTTCTGCTGACTGATGCCCCAGCTCAGCCATAAATAACAGCAATAAAACTGCAGCAGGCTGCTGGCCTCCCCCAGAGCACACCCGCTGTCCATCCATCTCCTGGGATGACTGCTCACATCCAGCCTTCAGCCTGCCCCAACCCTGGCCCCAGGCACAGAGGGGTCAGCCAGGAACACCGTGCGTGGCAAGGCCCCCATGTCCTGCCAATATACTTTATGGATGCCAGACACAGGCAGGAGAGAGCAGTATTGGAGGTGGTGGGAAACACCACCCCTTCAGAGTCGGGCTCCAGAAAGCACCCTGATGCTCTGGTCAGGGTGGGTTCTGCACCATACGTGGCCCGATGGCCCAGGCCATATTAGAGTTCCCCACTCTGTGGAAAAGCTGGCCTTTGTGTTCCTGGCAATGTGGGTGGGCAAAAGCCAAAGAATGCGGCAGCTCAGCTGTTTACACTTCTTTTGTCTCTGCTTCAAGTGGCAGTTACTTTTTATTTCTCCCTTTTGTCTTTAAGCTTCTTTGCTTCAACTATCTCACGCCCTAAAAACTTCCACCTAAAACCACAAACCGCTTACACTTGCTCTCTTCCTCTCTCTCCCTCTCTCTCACCCTCTCCTGAGCTCTTGGCATTGAATTGACATAAAGTCACGTGACTCTACCATCTTAACAAGACAATTTGGCCGTCTCACCAACAGCCTTATAAAAGAATTTCAATCATATATCTCTAAATTAAAAAAAAAGAAAAGGATGACAAAATGACTGCTAGCCATAGCACTCAGTAGCCCATGGTGACAAGCTTCTGGACCTTACAGAGGCCAAACCCCACACTTACACCTGGAAACAGAGGCCCCCAAAAGTGACTTCCTTAAGGTCAAGGGTCAGCTGGTGACCTGGTTCATCTAGGTTGCAGTGCAGTTGGGACGGGAACATCCAAAAATGAGTCCTCTCCAAGGGAGTCGAGGGCACACACGGTGAAGCCTCTGGGAGCTTTTATGTCTAAACTAGGCACTCACGACTCTCTTTGGGGACCTGTCTCTCGGCTAATGTGGTGGGTGACGGGGGCATTCTTCAGCCAGTGATGACTATCAGGAGCCAGCTCCCTTAACTGAGTTGAAACAGACTCTGAGAAATCATTAGCACTCAGAGCTTTTCCTGTGGCTGGGGGTCCCCTAGTCACGTCCTGTGCACCACTGCCCCCGTCCTCACCCTTTTACCAGTCTCCCCGGGATCACCTCCTTTGAATACATCACCTTGCCTCTGGAGCCTCATCTCAAAGTGGAGAGAGGTGCAGATGAAGAGGTCACAGTCGACCCGGGCAGGGTGGGCAATAGAAGCTGCACTTCCACGTCCTGCGAGCTGAAGCTGGGAGTCGCGGGGTGTTCAGGTGCCACCTCTTTAAAAGCTCCCATGAGCTATTGCAGCCGCAGCATGCCCAGCACTCAGAGTCATGCGCATGGCTGCCTCGTGGCAGCCTCACAGCTGCCAGGGACACTTTGCTAACCACAAGCCCTCGAGACAAGCAGTTTGGATGGGCTCATCCCTGGATAACTGAGCGCTGGCCTCTTATCTGACGAAACCCCCAATGCTCCCTCTTTGGAGTGGGGATCACCCTCAGCTGTGGTTGCTTCAAGCAGGGCACTTGTAGCCTGTGCTGACCGCCCACCCTTTGCCCAGCATCTGCTGCGGTAGCAGGTTCTGCAGAAACCCAGCTTATGCAATGAGCCCAAAATGATAGCTGGAGAGGGGAGCTGGAGGGTGAATGCTCTACCTCTTGTCCTTTAGGAAGGCAAGACATTCTGGATATTTCTCAGGAAGCCACTGCCACAGCCTCCACAGAGCATCTTCTGAAGTTCCTCCTTCCCTGTCTCATGGAACTGCTTCCTAGAATCACCACCCCACTGATCTGTGTCTAAGTCCTTGTCCTAAACTCTGCTTTTAGGGAAATGCAAACTAAGCCAGCATGCTTTTTTTTTTAATTTTTTAAAGTTGTTGATGAACCTTTATTTTATTTATATGTGGTGCTGAGAATTGAACCCAGTGCCTCACACATGCTAGGCAAGTGCTCTACCACTGAGCCACAGGCCCAGCCCAAACCGGCATCCTCAACCCTAACAACGCATTGATTTCAGGAACTGCTAGTTGCCTCCACTCAGTGGCCCAGGCTGTTCCTCTTTAGGAGTTTGTGTCTGATTTAGCCATTTTTATATCAACTTTCTTGGTTGCTAATAAGTCTTCCTCCAGTAGGACCACCACAACTTGTCATTTCTGTCTTTAATCTGTAGTCTGGATACCCTAAAACCAAACCTGATGGCTTATGTCTATCAAAAGGTGAGCAGATTCTGAGGGGAGGGGGGTTTGGAGTAAAAGCATGAGCTTTTATTTAAGGCACTGGAAGCTTATTTTGGCTGTTCAGGAGATATTTTTATTTTTCCCTGGTTTAGAACTCTGTTTTAGAGAGTATAGAAATTAGAAAATGAAATTTTGTATGAATGAGTTCTAACATTTCAAATTAAATATGGGACATGTTTGTGGGTGAATTCACTGGATTTAATAATACTTATCACAAATGCCCTGGGGCTCTTGGCTTGCCATGTATCAGGATACGCCAATTTCATAGATCTAGTTTTTAAGATTCCAGGCGTCTGCTGGTTTCACAGATGTCAAAACAATATCACACACCACAAACCAGTGGCTTACACACAGACTTCAGAGCAAAAAATAAATAAAAATCAGTCCAGGAATTGAATACAGATCCTTCCATTCAGCCTCCAAGTCTAACCCAGAAGTCCCCTCTCATCTCTTGAAAAGTCACATCTCATGGGTAGGAGGAGGTATGTACCACCTTGGCCTGGGAGGACCACAGGTGACTCTCGTGTGAGTGGAATTCTGTCCTGGGACTTACCCCGCCTTGCAACCTTCTCAACCTCAGGGGCACATGGGGCAGGCCTCTGCTGGGCACAGTGATCAACTGCACAAAACTGCCCAACTCTGGGTCCAAGTGCAAAAACAAAGGCCAGCAGGTGTGATTAACATTTATACCAAAGTCCCAGGAGTATGGGGGAAAAGAATGGTGGGTCAGTTTAACTGTCTCTCAAGTGTTTTCTGTGCTGCTTACAGCAGGAGTGGGCAAAAGCATGTGGCCATTTATCTTTGGAAAGGTTTATAGGAGAGATGGAGAAGTCCCTGTTACTGTGGAAAGCCGTACTTCCACTGGGCCACTAAGGGGCGTTCTGAGACCTAATCAGAACATTTGCAGGTTGGGATTGGAAAAACCTGCAGATGACCGTGTGGAAAAATAAAGCAGAAAAAGTGAAAGAAGCCATGGTTGGACTTGTGCTAGATGCTCTCATCACTTTTTTTTTTTTTTTTTTTGGTACCGGGGATTGAACTAAGGGGCACTCGACCAATGAACCACATCCCCAGCCCTATTTTGTATTTTATTTGGAGACAGGATCTCCCTGAGTTGCTTAGCTCCTCACCATTGCTGAGGATGGCTTTGAACACATGATTCTTCTATCTCAGCCTCCCAAGCGGCTAGGATTACAGGTATGTGCCATCGCACCCAGCTGCTCTCATCGTTGACAGCACCATCTGTTTTTTCCAATACCGGGTATTAGCAATGAAATATTTTATAAATTGCATTTCCAGTCCTCCCAAAGAATATAATTTTGATATGTAAACAGTATTTTTCACATTCTTACAGAAACAAACCAAGAGGAGCAGGAAAAATGATGGTCACGCAATTGGCCAGTGTGTGCCTAATATCCACCCACACCCACAGTTCTCTATAAATACAGTCTTGCATCACTTCACCTCGGGGACACATTCTGAGAAATGCATGAGTGGACAATTTTATCATGTTTGTCCATGTCATCCTGAGAACATCAAGAGTTGTTCTTATGCAAACCTAAGTGGTACAGGTCAATCACTCCTCCTGGCCTGCTGATGTAACCAAGAGAGTGACATACAGGAGATGTGGGGGCTGCCTAACAGTAAAGTTGTTTTTTGTTTTTGTCTTTTTATAAGAGAAAGCTTTAAAATAATGATAAAAATGTAGTATAGTACATACATAAGCCAGAAACATAGTCATTATCATAATCCAATATGATGTACTGTCCATAATTGTATGTGCTCTCACTTTATGTGACTGCCAGAGCAGTCGGTCCATTTAACCCTGCATCACCACGAACAGGTAAGTGACGTCCTCTGATGCTAGGACAGCTGCAGTGTCATTAGTCAATAGGAATTGTTCAGCTGTTATAATCCCAGGGGACCACCATTGAATATGTGTTCTACTGTTGACCAGAACGTCATGCAGCACAGGACTCAAAGAGTAACGCTAACACTGCAAGAGATCATTGGTTGGGAATTTAGCATATGCCATCATCCTGGGTACCTCACATGAAGACAGGAGTTTGATCTGAGCCAGGTGCAAACTGTTAGGTGATGAATAATATGGTGAGGAAACTGAGGCACAGAGAGCTTAGAGGCCTGCCCAGGGTTCCGAGGCTGGTAAGTACCAGGAAATCCCTGGACTACAAACAGTGAAGTGTCCGGAAGGGATTCCCATGATGTTTCCAGATGACTTAACCTCCCTTATACAGCAAGAAAAGAGGGCAGGGGGCACCCAGCTGCAGCGTCTCCAAAAATGCAAACCACTGAGAGCACCGAAGATGATAAGATTAAAAACATCAACAAGAAAGAAAAAGAACACCTATGGACATTTTTATGCATGGCTTGTTTCATCACACATTCAGGTAGTGTCATACCGATGGGTGTGACAAGGCCAGCATCGCCTGAGGGACCTGAGGAAGGTGCAAATTGCCACTGTGAGACCCTGACCTGACCAGTGCCTGAGGCAAAACCAAGCCCTGGGTTCTCAGCCCTGGCCATGTTAGAATCACTGGGAGTGTTTGGTTTGGGACTTGAGTGGTTTGGTTTAGTTTGATTTGTTTGTTTGTTTTAAGCTGATATCTTGGTTCCCCTCCATGTCCCAAGGAAATTAATCAGAATATCAGAAGATGGGGCCCAAGCACCTCGGTTGGTTTTTGCTGGACTTTGTTTTGTTTTGCTTTTTTGAAATAGAGGTCTCCTCATATGGCCCAGGCTGGCTCCAGCTCCTGGGAGCTTGGTGTGTACCACCACGCCCAGCTAAAGCTTAACTTTTAATTTTTTCTAGTGTTAGGGACTGAAAGTAGGACCTTGTGCACATTAGGCAGGCTCTCCCCCACTGAGCTGCCCTCCAGCTCCTACTGTTGTCTTTAACTGTCCCAGATAATACCAGGGTTCAACCAACCTTGTTATACACGTGAAAAAAATGATTCACCAAATGCCAAGCATTGAGGAAGTGGGGGGCTGCACTGATTGCAGACCAAAACCCATCAAAAACTCGACTCTTGGACCAGACTGGAGCACCCAGTAAGGAGACAGGACATGAAGACCCTGGGGTACATGGCACACTCAGAGCCTCCCACTCGTCTGGCTCACCTTGATCCGAGCAGGCTGTTTTCTCAGCATCACATGACAGAGAGAGAAATTATTTTAATTTAATCCAGAGTTACATTTTTTGGGAAAAGTGTAATTGAAAGAAACATCTGCTAGGCATATATTTGTCCCTCTCACCCTGCCAGCGGACTCTGAACGACTTGGGCCACATCTATAGCTCAGACAGGCATTCCTCAGACAGAGATTCACGAAGCTCCTCTGTGGTGCAGGGTGATGTCACTTCCCCAGATGGTGGTCAGCACCTGGATGGCAGCCAGCAGCCTAACACAGCCCAGCCTCCTCTGTCTCTCTGAGGCCAAGTTCTCCACCCTTGGAAGATGTGACCAAGAGCACCCTTAAGCCAAATGATTTTGGAAATGGAACCAAGTGTCTATGGGAATCTATGCTTTGGTGAATCTGCTGACCACTGTCCATCACCTTAACATTAATTGATTTTAGTCTCCAGAATCCCATTTGTGAGCTAAGGATGTAGCTCAGTGACAGAGCGCTTGCCTAGCGTACACGAGGCCAGGGGTTCCATCCCCAGCACTGCAAGGGTAAAAAAGACAAAGAAACTTGTCTGCAAAATGCCATACAGAAGCTGGAAGGAGAGTCGTGTGTCCTTGTCTGATCATCTTGCCCCTCCATTCTCCTGAAACTGCCCGACCCTTGGTTCAGGCCCTGTTCTTGCTATCTTCAGGCACCCAGAAGAAAAACTGGAGACTGCCCACAGGTTTCTTTTCCACATTGCCCAGCCCACCCACTCAGCTCCCTCCCAAGCCCTCTTTAACTCAGAACTGCTGGATTTCCCAGAGGCGGCCTCCACCAGCAGGCCCTGGAGTCCCCACCCTCCCCACACCTGGCATGATCCAACTTTCTAGTCTTTGCGGGTCTAATAGATGTCATGTGATATCTTGTTGCTATAATTTGCATTTCTGTGCCTTGCAGTCAGCTGTTTGAATCTTTTTTAGCTTTTGGTTCCATTTCCTTAGCATCCTGGCCCTCGTGGCTTCCATCTGAAGCCAGGCAACAGCCTTCACTCTGTGGCCGCCTCCTGTTCCCCTCAAACTTTGCCGGGCCACCTGCCTGAAACCCAGGCAGGAGCATGTCCCTCCTCTGCATAAACTGCCTGCAGCATCCTTACTAAATATGAGGCTCCTCTGTTCTCCCCAGTCTTGCTCCTCCTCCTCACTTTCCCCCACTGAGTGCCCTGCTCTACAGTCCCACAGCCCTGACCTCCCCACTTGCAGGTCTATAGTCCTCGGCTCCCATTCTCTCTGCACATGTCACCTGTGCACCCCGTCTTGCTCCCCTCAAGGCCCACTATTGGCCAGCCTTCCCTGAGGCTCTTGTCGTCTGAGGTGTGTACTCTTCTGAACCCCCTAGCGTTTGCCAAGGCTCACTTCTTTCCTCTTTGTGCTTTGTGTTCTGTTCTCATCACACCTTCTTCTTCTTCTTCTTCTTCTTCTTCTCCTCCTCCTCCTCCTCCTCCTCCTCCTCCTCCTCCTCCTCCTCCTCCTCCTCCTCCTCC